AACAAACCAATTAGGAAATACACTGTAGTATGAGCAGCTTTGCCTACATCCCACTGTGCCCCTTGCTGGCACAGGCTGAATACTTTACTCAGTCTTATACCTTCCCCAAAAAGCATATTAATAATTTGCTTCATGAAGTATCCCTGATTGGGGCTGGAGATACTTCAGGGGTTAAGAGCATGCACTGTTCTTAGAGACAACAATTCAGTCTGCAGCACCCCCATGTCAGTCCACAACATACTGTATGTCCTGTTGCAGGGGACCCAATGCCCTCTTCTGGCCTTTGCAGGCAATGCAAGCACACGATACACAATTATGCTTTCAGGAAGAAAACAAACATAACATATAAAATAAAAAGAAATAAATCTGTTATACAATAATTACTGTTCATTCTGATTAATGGTGATCCCTCCCTTCCTCTGCGTAGCACTGTCACTTAACCACCAACTCTGTGCCACTAAATTTACAATATACTTTCACATATCACCTCTGTGAACAAAACAAAATACTGTGAATTAAGCATTTTTAGTAAATAAGTAAACTGTTCTTCTGGTAATGGGAATTAGTAGACAAATGTTTTCAGAAATGATGAACATACCTTTAGAAACGCAGAGTACATGGTAGTCACATAGGTTCTGTGCATTCAAAGTTCCTGCAGATGAGTCAACGCCTAGCCATCCCCAGAGGATGCTTGCTTTCAAGACTGTGCTTACCTGTGATGTCTCTCACAATGGCAGACAAAAACTTAGTGTGCTCTGAGGAGTTGAGTTTTTCTCCATATTTTCCTCCATGCAGCTCAAAAGACAACGAGCAAACCTATGTACCTGCTCTGGGGAACTATTCAGAAAAGTCAAAATGTTGAAAGAAACACTTGGCAATCTCCAAAATATTTATCCTTATGGAGTAGGAAAGAGAACGGATCTGAAGTGGATTCATGACAAGGGCAGTCTTAGTTTTCCTCCATATCCTTGATCCTAATAGGAAAAGAAAAAGGGCCTGAAGGCAAGCGTCCTAGAAGAGGGGCTGTCAATGAACTTTAAGATTGTATTCCATCACCATTAATGAAACTTTATACTATCCAAAGTCAGGAAACACTTTATAAACAGTTTACCTTTATAAACAGTTTAACTTAAAAGCAAACTGTTTGAAAATTTTGTTTGGACACTCAGATTAAGGCAATTTAACGTATATTATTTTGATGCATGATTTTCTTTGCACCAGTGGTAGACAATACTAGATATTTCTGTGAGGCAGATAAAAGATGTATGTCTGAGAGAATGGATGGCACAGAGAGAAGTGTCCAACTGCCTCAGTATAATAAAAGAAATGCTGCCTCAGGTCCAAACACTCTTCATTCCAACTCACTATGTATCAGATATGGCCTCAAATATCTAAATGGAGGGTTAACAGGGTGATGTGGGGGGTAAAGTAAATCTAATCACTGGAAACCTGATGTTTAGTCAACATTACTTATCACGAAATGCATCAGTTGTCCATTTCCAGTTTTATCTCTTCTTTCAAATACCTGGGACATGGATGGAGCAAAGACTTGGAGTAGGTGTCATGGTAATTATCAGCTTCCCATCCTCTTGAAAACAACTTTTCCTAATCTGTGTGTTGATTACAGAGTCTTACACATCACATGTGACTCTATATGACAGAAGAATGAATGCCTAAGTCTAGGGGTTTCTGATTATACCCATCCTTATAAGGGCATCTGTATGATTCACTTACCAAAAGTAGTCTAGACTAAATTTTGTTGGCACCCAGTAGCCTAAGTTAATTTATTAAATATGATTATCTGTATGTTCACTTGATTTTAGCCATGTTCATAGATGACTCTAACCCTCTGAATCTTTTGAGAAAATTGAGAAGACTCCTGAAGTTACAAAGATCCAGTTCTTTAGGCTGATTTGCATAAGCAGAGAGGCTCAGAGACTTCTTGGTATAATAGAATTCTGCTATATAGGTGGTAAATAAATCTTAAGCAAGCACTAAGCTGTGGATATGACTTTTGTATTTTACTGGTAATGGGGGATTCCAAATTAATAAATAGTCCACACACGCTGAGCCAGTAATAATATATTTAACCAAGATTACTGACATTTTTCCCCTAATGAATAAGCACCATACTAAATACCACATAGATCTTCTAGAATGAAGAAGTCTGGTTAATAACATTTAACATCTCAGGTCTAATGTGGGATTTCCCTCTGCATTTTATGAGTATGTTTTATTAGCATTGGTTAATAAAGAACTTATGGCAGGGCAGAATAGAGATAGGAGGGGAAAACTTAATTGAATGCAAGGAGAAAGTAGATGGATTCAAAGCGATGCCATGTAGTTGCCAAAGAATAAAGAAGCCACAACCTTAACCAGTAAGGCATAGAAATGGATTAAATTGAGATTGAAGAGCTAGCTAGAGATATGCCTGAATGGTTGGACAAGCAGTGCTGTAATTAATATTGTTTCTGTGTGATTATTCTGGTCTCAGCAGCCAGGAAAGAAAGGTCCAGTCTTTGCTCACAGAGGTCAGGTTTCCAAAAGAAAACACAGACTTAAATGACAAGAACATTACAAAAAATAAAAAGTAAACATATCAAGGTTTATATACCAAGGTTAACCTCTTCCACGAATGTTAAACATTAAGGCTATGCTTCCAGGCATGATGACTGAGTACCAGGACTAGAAAGGCAAAGCAGGATACCACAGACATGAGATTACCCTGGGTCACATAGAGTGAGTTCCAAGACTACCTAGACTATGGTACCAGTTCTTTCTTTAAATAAAATCCATGCAAACAAACAACAACAACACTGACACCAAACAAAAACCAACCAGCCAAATATGCAGAAGCACAAGAAAGAAAAAGAAAAAAGTAACTCTTTTCAAAATCTGATAGGGCTGGAGACCTGTGGAAGACATTTGCAAAGGGATGTTTTGTTGGGTGATAGAAAGAGGGGTTTCTCCTTTTCTCCTCCATATCATGAAGATGTTTATAGTTTCCAGAGCACACAGGACACTTGGCTCCTGCAAGTTTACTTCATGTCATCATGTCACGTAAAGTAAACTTCCCTGAAGTCTTCCTGAGATGTCCTTGTAAGGTGGTACAGGGATTGTAGAATGAGCAAGACTGAGCAATGATGAGTCACATAATACACAGTTGACTCCACAAGCTAAGTTTAATGATGCAGGAGAATTGTCTGTAATCTGTCAATCATTTTAAACAAATGTTGATTGGCCAGGCAGGAAGTATAGGCGGGAAAACCAGACAGGAAGTAGAGGTGATGCAATGAGAACAGGAGAATTCTGGGAAGCAGGAAGCTCCCTCTGTCATTCCCACCCAGATCACAAAAGAAGCAACAGAAGAAAAAGGTACCAAGCCATATGGCTAACATAGATAAGAATAATGGGTTAATATAAGCTATAAGAGTTAACAAGAAGCCTGAGCTAATGAGCCAATCAGTTTATAATCTTGTGGAGTCCTGTGTGTGATTTTCTTTGGGGTATGCCGGTTATGGGGTGCCAGGTGGGACAGAGATATCAACAAGCCAGCCTCTCATGTTATAGATGGCGCCCACGTGGTTAACTGCACCTACAGAAAGCCAAAGAAAGCTTGGGAAACAATAGAGTAAAACATGTTTTCTTGGTGACAGCAATTTCTCAGGTTTTGTCTGACTTGACTTTGTATAGGTCTTTGAAGTGCTGTCCCACCTAATAGGAACATGTATAACCAAATTTTCTGCTATGTCTAGAAGACACTGTGTCTTATCACAATGCACAGTCTATAGAGCCTTTAGTTTCCAGCTGAATATTCCACATTTTCTTGATCATATACCTTGACCAGTTTGGTGCTTATGTGCTAATTGCTGTGTAGTGCAAATTGAAGCCTCTCACATAATGGTTGAGAGATGCATTATCTGTGGGTTTAATGATAAGTCATTAGGAGATGGTTTAACTAGTACTGCCACTTCTCAGTATAATGGTAGTAGTTTCTCCCACAGGGACATATTCTTAGATCAGCTCCTAATGAATTTTTGCTATTAACATACATTGGTGCATCAGTCAGCCTTCTTCAGAGAAGCTTCTTGTTCCAGCATGTGGTGATTGTCACAGAGAACCAGAACTACTCACTGCTCTGCAGAGAAAAGGCTGTAGCACACTCAGTCCCTGATGGGACATCTACATCGCACACCTTCCTCCCAAGGTCTGAAGAAGAGAGGGCAGAAAGACTGGGAGAGCCTTAGGTGGAGATGATTACAAGAAGACAGTGTTTGCTGGACACAGCAGTGCATCTGCACACATGAACTCAGAGATTTACAGCACATATAAGAGTTGCAAAGGATCAGAGAAGATAGAGTTCCAGCAAGAAGAGGGAAGGTGTGCATTCCCACCCTTAGCTAAGAATCTACTGGCAATTGGCTGCTGCTGGGAGACAGAATCAGATTTATTTAAATGTGCATAGACCATCCTCCACTGAAGGCCACACATCCAAGAGTTTATGTATAGTACAACCTGTAATGCAAACCTTGAGCTGATTTACTATAAATGGGGATTCCACAAAACTGGGTTGGTAGTGAAGAGTAATAGATCTGTCAGGAGCAAAGGGAGAAAGTTTGTATAATTAAAATACATCACATAACATTCTCAAAACAGCAATAAAATGGGAAAAATAAATATATTTTATCAGAGGTGTGTGTGTTTATGTGTGTGTGTGTGTGTGTGTGTGTGTTCTTTCATGTACACTCATCACCCTAAATACCCCAGGATACATAAAGTTCAGTAATATTGGAGATTTTAGACATCCACTCGAGGCTTGAAACCTGCCTCCTTTGGATGAGGCTTCAAGTTTATTTACTAAGTGTGATGTAGACATCTTAGTGCAGTTTGAAGGGAAATCATCAGAGGGTGCTATGTCTTCAGATGTGGTTAATGTCTGCACCCATGTGGTAGTGTCACGTGATAGATTGCCACTGTGCAGAAGGAGATCCTTGCTTATGAGTGAGAAGCTTCAATAAGATTCTGAAAGAGACTTGCCTTGTGAGTTTGGTGTACTCAAAAACCAAGCGTCCTTTTTCCTTATGAACATGCTTCTTGACTTCTGCTCAGTTCTGCTACTTCTTTTAATGTTCAGTAAGTTATATTTAGGCAAAGTAATGATGATGTCATTTTCTTACAGCTATGGCAGTCTTTGCCTTTTTTCTCACATAGAAAAATAATTTATGCTCATTTTTTTTCAGGAAGGAGCAATGGAGACTCAGTGACTCAGACAGAAGGCCAGGTTACTGTCACAGAGGGATTGCCTGTGAAGCTGAACTGCAACTATGAGACTAGTTACACAAGTCCTTTCCTTTTCTGGTATGTGCAACATCCCAGGAAAGCTCCCCAGTTACTTCTGAATAGCTTCACAGACAAGAAGACAGAGCACCAAGGGTTCCATGCCACTCTCCATAAGAGCAACAGCTCCTTCCACCTGCAGAAGTCCTCAGTGCAGCTTTCGGACTCTGCCCTGTACTACTGTGCTCTGAGTGACACAGTGAGGGAGACTGCAGGGGAAGCTGCACACAAACCAAGGGTGTAGAGAGGGCTGAGGGAAGTGGCCTTGAGAGGGAGGATTGTGTGCCTTCTCTACATGGGGTTTAACCAGGCTCCTGAAAAACAGCAACAGATTTTAGGTCAAATTCCTAGAAAACAAGGAATTTGTGGATCTAACAGGATAAGATGGAAGTCATTACCAGAGACAACATAGGCCTTGATCTCCTGACACAATGTTTTCTCCCTAAGTGGAAGACTTTTACCAGAAAACATCTCCAGGAAAACTTGGACATGGGATTTATCTCTACTGAGATATCTTACAAAATTTAGTTATTTAAATTCTCTAGAAAATCTCTTTTCTTACCCCAAAGATGTATGACCAAATGAAAAAAAAATAGACTTTTTTAAAAACTCTGCTTCAATTTCACTCCAGAAGTTATTTACATTTTTCCTCCCCTTGGCTTATGTTACACAGGGTTAAGTCTATCTTATTGTAGAAGCTAGGGGGCCCACTTGTTCATCCCTGTTACCTGACTAGCTTAATCCTGAAATAACCACACAGAAACTGTATTAATTAAATCACTGCTTGACCCATGAGCTCTAACTTCTTATTGGCTTCCTCTTACTGCTGTAGAAAGTCTTACAGCTTGTGGCTACCTGCCTACTGGGGTGTGAATTCTTCTTATATATATATGCTGCTGCCTTGACCCCTTCTTTTCCGGCTGCTCTTTTGGATTGCTGTGTTCGATTTATGTTCTCCGTTCAAGCAGAGAATTCTGATTTGTGAGTTTACCCCTAAATAAATAACCATCTAATTCTCAATTCTGAGCTTGTGTGAGATTTATTATAAGTTTCTGCTCATTTGGTGCCCACATGGATTCACACTGCATGGGTACTGGGTGGCTAACCTAATGGCCTAGGCGTTCCATGGCCGAGACAGTCTCCTAACACTGCACAATTTGCTTGCTTTCACCTAATTGTTTTTCTTAAGAATCTCTCACCACAGCAGAGTTTACTGCATGTGGCAACATGGAAATTTCATAATTGCATGCACGCACAATGCTGCATTACCCGGGGCAGCTCTTTGCTGTGTGGTGGCTTGTGCAGTTTCCAGTTTCTGTTCCCTGTCCCTGAGTTCTATTTTTATTCTCTGTGTATGGAATTAATTTAATTGCTTTAAATTTGCTAAGCAACGCATATTTCTCAGTATTTAACCAGTATCAAGATAGAAAACTAAAGTGACTCAGAAACTAAAGAAGGTCAGGACCATTCCTGTCTCCACGGGTTGCATTTCTTCTAGTAGCAACTCTGCAATCACGACATCTGCTGAACAATAAAGATTGCAGTTTACCAGATCACATAACAGGTAATTAATAAATCAATATGGCAGACTTCATTACTGTTGCAACTTTTAGTAACTTTTTTGCTAATACTATGGATTGTATTATGTGAGACTTGTTGATACTTCAATTTATTGGGTATTAGGTTTTAGTTTTCTTCCCATATTCTATCATTAAGAAAGAATATGGCACTTTTAGGAATGATACAGTCTTTATAGACTAATGATGAACAGCTAGTTGACATGATTAAGACCATCAAAAATCAAAAGTTACCTGAAAGATTTAGTACTATTACACACAAAACTGAATCCACATATAAAGGTACTAAGAAGTTATCTGAAAGATTTCATACTGTTGAATTTGACAATAAAAACTTGTCAAGAAGTTATGATGAGTTGACAGAAAAACTGTTTCTCCAGGATGGCAGTCTGCACACTATTCAAATAATGACCAAGGATGAGATGTTATCTTTAAAGGAGAAACTTCAGGCCATGTAATCACATGTGCAGCATGAGGACCAGAGACTAGGTGCCTCAATGAAATCACTAGAAATATATAGGTGAGGAGATTCAGGCTTTACAAAAGACAATAATAAAAAGATTTGAAATAATTGAGGAAATTATTGGAGCTGAGGAACAGGGAAAGAAGGCACAAAGACAGGATTCAGCATTGCCAGTGATTGTCAGAGATGATTTACCCAGAGTTTTATCTTCCTACCCTGTAATTTACTCTGACAAAGCATCAGGTTTTAAAGACCCAAAAGGATTCAAAAAAGGTAGATGGATACCTGTAGGAATGAATGATCTAAAAGAAATTAAGCAAGTTTTTGTAACTTATGGCTTTCATTCTGCATTTGTTAAGAAGATGATAAAGATTTGGGCTTCTAACATCAAGACAAAAACACATGATTTTTTTTAAGTTAGTTTCAGCAGTCCTAGATGACAGGCTGCTACTGATGTTTAAAATTTATTTCAGGGAGGAGGCCAAAAATTTGGAACAACAGGGAAAAGACAAAGACCTTGAGGCTTCCCAAGATCAAATTCTTGGTGAAGGCACTTATGTTGACCCACAGTCTCAAGCTCTTTACAATGAAGAAATCTTGTCGCTATGCCATAAAGCAGCCTTAAATGCTTAGGACAGGATTCAAGAACAAGGAAAAATGATTGAATCATATACCATGGTTAGACAGGGACAGACAGAATCCTTTACTGACATTTTACAAAGATTAAATAAGGCTATACAAATAGGAGTAACAGACTGAGATGCTAGATGAGTACTCATTGAATCTTTAGCTTTTGAAAATGCAAACATAGAATGAAAAAAGATACTTCAGCCTCTAAAGGTTAGATTCTCACCTATGGATGAATGGATTCCGAATACTATGAATAATGAGACATTTGACTGTAATACTGAATCTTGGGTAGGAGAAGCAATTTCCAAAGTAATGAGGAGACATCAAAATGCCAAATGTTTTAATTGTGGTAGAATAGGACATCTGAGAAGGGATTGTAGACAAGGAATTCCTAGGAATAATAATTCCTCTGGGAATGGCAAAAATAGGAGACCTCAGTCTTCGGGTATATGTAGAAAGTATGGCAAAGGAAGACATTGGACCAATAAATAAATTGATAAAAATTTTTATCCAATAGATAAAAATTGGACAGACAAGGCAACTCAATACCATCAGGAAACTCCTTGAGGGGCCTCTCACAGGTCCCAAAGCCAAAAGTGGTCCAGACGTTCCCAGTAACAGTGGAGGACATGTCACACCAGGAGAATAAAAAACTCCAGAGCCTTCTGTAAAAGACCATACTGTTCTAAATGATGACATAAACATGGAGGATAGGTCAAAAATTTCAATAGGAAATAAGAAATTTATATTCTGGCAGACTTCTATAAATGGTCAATGACCAAAGCTAAGAGTGAATATAAATAGCATTGAAATTGTTGGTTCGATAGACACAGGTGTGGATGTGAGTATCATTACTCCAGAATCGTGACATCCAAATTGGCCACTTCAAAAGGCAGATGTTCAGTTACTAGGAATTGGAACCATATCTCAAGTTCAACAAAGCACAAGATGTGTTGACTATATTGGGCCAGAAGTTCAAAGTAAAAAGCTGAGGCCATATGTGGCTAATATTGCAGTAAATTTATGGGGTCATGACCTACTGCAGTAATGGTATACCCAGATTAACATTCCCGCAGACCCGGGAACTTATGATTCTGGGAAGGACATTTTAAGGTACTTACACAAAAGTCACCAGTCACTCAGGCTGTACAAGAACATAAAGCAACTAGCAAATCCATAGAGGCACCAACAGCCCTACCTTTAAAATGGTTAACTGACTAACTAATATGGGTTAAGCAGTGGCCTCTAGCTGAAAATGAATTGCAGGCTTTAGAAAAACTAAAACAGCAACTAGATGCTCACCATTCTGAAGAATCAGTCAGCTCTTGGAATTCTCCTGTTTTTGTTGTTAAAAAAAAGATATCTGGAAAATGCAGAATGGTAACAGATCTAAGAATTGTCAATAAGGTTATTCAACCTATTGGCCCTCTACACTCTGGAATGCCTCTGTCTTCTCTATTACTTAAAGGATGGCCTATTATGGTTATTGATTTGAAAGATTGATTCTTCACTATACCTTTACAAGAAAAGGATAGAGAAAAAGTTGCCTTCACAGTGTCTATGTATAATAATTATCAAGGTACTAGGGGATAGCAATGGAATATCCTCCCACAAGGAATCCTCAATAGCCCCACATTGTACCAATACTTTGTAAGTCAGTCATTGGAAATAATACATAATCAATTTCCTAAGTCTATAATTTACCATTACATGGATGACATTTTGCCATGTGATTCGAACATGGATACTTTAGAAAGAATATTTGAAGAAGTAAAGAAAGTTTTGCCAAGATGGGGATTACAAATTACTCCTGAAGAAAAATACAGAGAGGAGATTCTGTTAATTTCCTAGGTTATAAAATAGTTTTACGGAAAAATAGGACATTAATTATCAAATATATTTGTTCTTATTTTATGCAATTTTGTATGAGTCTTAGAATTCTCTTATTTAAACAAAAGGGGGAGGTGCTGTAGAAAGTCTTACAGCTTGTGGTTACGTCCCTAATGTGGTGGAGCCTCTTATACTATATATGCTGATGCAGAGCCTGGATCTACCCCTTCTTCCCTGGATGCTCTTTAGGATTGCTGGATTTGATATCTCCAAATCAAATTCTCCTTTCAAGCAGAGAATTCTGATTTGTGAGTTTACCTCTAAATAAATAATCATCTATTTCTCAATTCTGAGCTAGTGTGGGATTTTTTTTAAGCATCCGTTCCACATCTTACACCTTAATTTAACCCATCTCCATTAATCTGTGTATCACTACGTGATTGTGGATTACTGGCAAAGATTTGGCATGTCTGATGCTAGTGGCTCCATGGTGTCTCCCTGGCTCTGCCCTTCTTTCTCCCAGTATTCAGTTCTGTCTTACCTGCCTACCTAAGTTCTGCCCTATCAACAAACAGGCCTAGTCAATTTCTTTATTCATTAATTGTAATGACAGCACACAGTGGGGACTCCCACATCACCTTCCATTTTCTGTTTAAACTAAAAGGAAGACTTTAACATAGTATAATTACATATAACAAAACAGTTATCAAGCAAGAATTACAGTTAAAATATTTATATCTATTTTATAACTAAGGAAAACTATATTATCCTTATCTATTCTTCAACTCTATCAAAGACTTCAGAAGAATATGATATTACCTAAGTAAACAGGAGGTACATTGTAAGCAACTTCCAAAACTCTAGAATTGAAAGAGACATCTCACTGCCTGAACAGTCAACCAAAGTTCTTCTGTACCATTGGAGCTTCCATCTTCAGACTACATGCCCATAGTGTCTAGCAGACTTTTCCATGAAGCAGGAAATTTCAAAGACAGTTCAGTCACTTTCTTCTGTATCCTGCAGAATGTCTCACAGACTTTTTCATGAAGCAGGAACCCCGAAGGACCATATCACCTTTAGGCAAGTTCAGCAGTCATTTCTGTGTGGGTCCTGTATGTCCAGGCAAGAGCAGTTTCTTGCAGAAATGGCTAACCAACTCCACAAGGAGCCTCTTCAATGCTCATCTTTCTCTTGAAGTAGATTGGTGCAGCCAGGAACATATGTGTCTCATTGTCATAAAAAGTCCTAAATTCTTAAACATCTTAAATGCCATATTCTGAAGGTCTCTGAAAGATTTGAAGAATGCCTAGCTATTTGAAATACATCTCTGTACATCAAAAATCTCCAACTAACATGTCTACAATTTTGACTATTATAGATGACTATCTATTAAGCTATATTTCTTAATTAATACATTACATTTTTAAATGAACTATACAATCACAG